CAAAAAAAAAAAATAAATAAAAAAAAAAATTGTGAACATATTTACAATCAGATTGTTAGCTATGTAAGTGTATCCTTGTATTATAAACTAGGTTTATGTCTAATCTAAGGTTAAGGTCCATCTATGTATCTAAACCTAGCCCATAACACAAACATACACTTTACATAACTAACAGAGAAGATCAACTGGTCAAGATCAAAACTAAGGACACATAATTAGTGGGAGAATCAATACCTTATACTGGATATGAAAAAAGATGACATTACTCTAATAGTTGATAACATTGTTGGTATCTAGTGAGATGAAATGCTAAAGCTCTAACATCATACGATATTACTAGATGTTGGCCTTGGCCTTCCAAAATAACGCTTGCTTGACAATATATTTTCATTCTTTCAATTATAGCAACACATTGATTTTTATGTACAGTCCCACATCACTGAATGCGTCAACAACCAAAATGATTGCTTCGCCCACTCAATCTGGGAATGCCCATTTTCCAGGTAATTACAAAAATCTGAAACAAAGCAAAGTTAATTTCCGCAATGATTAGAGATGTTAAAGAAGTGGAAAAGTGTATTAATGATCGCATACAAATATCTATATTTACATTATACACCCGGACTATGAATCTAATACAAAGACTGATTCTTACAAGAGTACACATGTTAGGAGAGACTGACTTAAAAATTCTCCCATCAACTACAGGAACCATAGTACAGATTTTACACGCACCAAATTTTCGCAAAAAAAGATTTTCCGTCCACAGAGGCTTTTAGTCTCATAATAATTATTCTTTACTTCATTCAAGCTGCACAAGTAGAAAACATTCATCTGAAATCAAACACGCCAAAAATTTGTCAGGATTCATCGAATTATGTGTTCGAGTCTTGTAATTTCTACACAAGGGAAATGAAGCCAAGTCAGGAACAGCTGTCTAATGACAAAATGTGTCATTTGATTTTGGTCTAATGACTCAAAAAGACAAAGAAACAAAAAACACAACAATGTTTAAGCAACTACAAATACAACCTAAAAGTATTACGAGCACCCCCTTGAGGTTTCTATTTCCTTAAAATATGGCCCCATACGCAATGTGAAATAGAAATGATACCAGGAGGGATATTTGCAATTTTGAGACAAAGTTGAATTTTCTGTTATTAGACCAAACATGTATGTTTTTGCGATTATGCTAAGGAAACTAATGTGTATTCATCTGGGATTCTTAAAGATTTGTTGGGACTTTAAGAATTTTGGTGTATTTAATTTGGACTTTTTAAGACTTAAAACTCGTGAGCTACTCATTTGAGATTTCAAAATATCTTAACAAATCATGAGGTATTTAACTTATTTGAACTGAGAGTTATAAGACTTTTTACACTTTGTTGAGATTTAATAAACAAAAATCCTTATACAAAATCCCACCCCACATCCCACATTCCCACCTCTAGACTTAAGATCAGGATTCCTCTTAAATCTCAAAATCCTACAAAGTCTCAAACCTCAAAGTCTTAAAATGCCTTTTAATATCCCCAACGAATACACCTTCCTAATAAATTCATAGGAATTTACTATTGAATTGCCATTAAAATTATTTTAGTGTACAGATTTTAAGTTTTCATTTACATTAAACTGTGGAAAGCAAAACGAGAACTGATTACGATATGAAACATGTTCCCATTATCAGAATGCATTTGAGTCGAAGCCCATCTAGATTTGTTATTTCAGCAACGCACAGATAACCCACATCAAGAAGAGAAAAAATGATGTAGACTTTATTATTTTGACAAAATGGGAAAAAAATAGGTATCACATGAAAATTAAATTAAGGAATATATTGGGGTGATATAACAGATATAGTACATGGACAAAAAGTCTCTGCAGTCTATCCTACAACGGACAAATGGTCTGAAAACTAGGTTCTGGATATTTACAAGAAACAAGAGTCGATGAATAATTCTTCACATATAACGAACTAAGACGTACGGCAGAATTACACCCACTCTGTCAGTAGGTGGTAACTTATGTGAACAAACTTGAATTACTTAATTCTCATGGTTCAGGGAACTTCCTATTTATATTCAAGCATATAAATCTGGAATGAATTTGGGACAAAAGTTATATGTTCAGAGCACAAACAAAACTACAAAAATCCCAGCTTCTATTTAATCCCAGTAGATATTCCATTTGCCACAAAATAAGAAGAATAGCAACTTTGGCGTTATCACCTCTACATGTATTTCCTCTTAGCATCATACAGGATTGTCGAGACCATATCCAATGATAAAGTGGATGATAAAATATTGGACTTTCTATAGCTGCTCATAAGGCCTTAATTAATAGGTTATTCTCTTCCACATATATGATAAAGCACAATCACACATATACAACGACATAATCAAAAGTAACGGGCCAGACAACTGCAACTACTTGCTAACACTAGACATCTACATTATACTTTGATAAGCTTCAGGTACAAAAACTTGTGAAATAACATCAAAGATGAAACAAAAAAACCTTAACAACAAAAGCTATGGCCATGAATCATACACTCATTTGTGTATAAGTTTAAGGTTAGTGAAGAATTGAGAACCACACAGAATGGGAGTTCCTGTGATGGAGTTCAAGGTGTGTTTATTCATTTGTGAGTATGATCAAGTCATTCAAACTCATAAAGAAGAACATACAAGATTAATAGGAAAGGATAGTTTAATTACCCTGCTGCAAGATAGAATCAAGATCCTCCCCCTTCTAATAGATAACTCCAGGACTTGATATTTCCATGACACAAAGATAATGTAGCTTGCTTCATGAGCCATAGTTGAAGTCCAAAAATTTTTGTGCAGCCTGCAATGTATGATCACAATAAGGTATTCTTCGCTTACCACAATGAGCCAACTAAAACAACATGAAGTAGATGCAAATAGAAAGTTTGAATTACTAACTTTCTTTTGTTTTCTATTCTCTTGTGAGGGATCACAGATTCACAAATAACCAAAATTACTGAGGGATCACAGATTGCGTAAGTTTCATGAGGGTATGACTCTCAAATAAGTATCCAACTGTAATATGTCAAAATACTAATAAAAACTAAATATAATGCACGAAAAAATTTCTTTCCAAAACAACAATTGTACATATAATTTTGCAAAGAACATATATCAATAGGGGAAAACAACATGGATAAATTGCTTAAAGAGGAAAGATATTATACATAGACGGAACAACAATGAATTCATTGACTCATTTAACAACGGGTATTAACCTGCCGCTAACTTCAAGAGAGAAATAAAAAGTTATTAAGGATTGCGTAACTTGAAATACTAGTTAAGTAATTATTGTAATATGGTATCAATTAATCAATGTATATTCAGGTACAACAACAACAACATACCCAGTATATTCCCAACAGGTTGGGGTCTGGGGGGTCAGTAGTACGCAGACCTTACCCTTGTAATTATACAAGGAGGCTGTTTCCGTAGCGACCCAAGATGCATTGCGCCGTTTGATATATATTTTTTTTCTAGAAACTTCACTAATAGAAGAAGCACTAGAATTTAATTGAGCCATTTTGATCTAGTCCATTATTAGCACTATGCCAGGAGAATTGCCAACAATGACTCTTCTAGCTCCATTTGCAATGGACACAATGACATCAATATAGCATCAAAAAAATCAGAAAGGCCGATCGAATATTTGATCTTGGAACTTAGTGACAGACATGTTAGGAAGCAAGAAATTAGAAATCTACAATGGGTATATCCATTGTTGAATACCCTTCAATACTGAAAATAATTGTCATGTTTCTGTAAATTTTTTTTAATCATGGTATAAGGTATTAGGAATTTGATTATGGGTATATAACACATTCATAGCTAATATTATCTTATTTGAGGCATATGAGCTGCTACGTAGGATCGAATGAGAACGATAGAAAGTTTCCTTCAAGGGTTATGATTAAATTGAATATTTAATCTTTCAGTTCGCTCAAAGCCTTTTAGCTGTTAGTAGCAATTTTGATATGTCGGGTTATTCTAAGGAATTTCATATTCTCTTCATGTTCAAGGTTTTAAATTCAACTCACCGTATTGGATTTTGCAAATATATTAATGTAGTAGTTTATCTTGAGGGCTCTGAGTTAACAAGTGAAAAATGAATTCGTCTCAAAGTCCTTCAAGATATAAAAGCATTTTATGAATTAGTCACCAAGTTACTTTTTTTCGAATATAATTTTTTTCAAAGTAAAACACTTAATTGAGTAAAAGACAGACTACATTTGAAATGAAGCTAGAGTAGAATCTATTAACATCAATCTACAAAAGAAGGTTGTCTACTTAATTGCCACATAAATCACAATTCAAAATTTTAACATATAAATTACCAATCTACAATAGAAAATATATGGATTTATATGTTCCCTAATGTATATTTAAAAGCTAACAAGCAAAGAGGAAGGGCTACACGCCTAGATCTATAGCCAGGCATCCCTTTCTTGAAGCTAAATCTAGATATTCAGTCTTTTTTGTCTTTAAAAATAATAAATTAATCTACATGTTTAATTTTCCACATTTATCCTACACATCACATTTTCTCCAGAAGATAATTTTTAAAGAATCTGGAAACTGACTGTATTTTGAACAATCTTCAACTCCAGTTTGTGAATTTTGAACAGAAGTCATCTTCACAAATGAAGTCAGGTGTTCCCAAACATCAGTAGCATTGTAAAAGTGTTATCCAAACAGATTTATAAGGAAATAGGATCGAGTCAGTCCATACTTTATATTGACAACAAAAATAAAAAATAGTTCATAATCCTGTTTAAGATGATACATACATTGAAAAAAAGGGGTGAGAGTTCCACAACAAACCGACCAATCAATTCACATCGTTTGAGGGACACAAAACAAAAGAACCCTCAATCCAAACACAAACATAAAAACATAAACCAAACAAGACAAGACAAGTCAAAGTGAAGAAAAAGGCAAAAAATAAAGTTCAAAGATACCTCACCACACGACCTCCCGATCCCGATCCCAACACCGACCCAAACCCCACGCTGCTAGTTACAGATAGCAAGCTTCCCTGTCAACTCACTAGGCACCCCATAGTCAAGGCTCAGCTCCCTCATAGGCGGTATATTCTCCATAGCAAACAGCATGAGCCGGGGAAAAGACACATTGCTGTGGTCATACAAAACCGGCTGCACAAAAACATTCGGGCTAGTGCTATTGCTCATATAACAAGCCAAGTTCCTCATCCTCGACACATCCATGGCAAAATCCAACGGGGCCACCAAAGGATACGAAGGAGGGACAAAATCGGCAAAAACCTCCGAAAGATTCCCCCACTCTCTCCACCGCTCACCAAAACGACCCGGGTAAATCAAACTGTCCCCATTCATAGTCAGCACTTGGGCCTGCTCACGAGTAAGAACCACACCAGAGTACTCACAGATAAACGAGCCTGCCGGGATTAAGTCCAAAGACCTCACTCCCCAGTCAGTCTCCCTTGACCGGAAAACCTCAAACCTATTCCGAACCCCCTTTTGCGTCACCCTGTTACGGCACGTTGGTGGGCAGCGGCAGTTATGCCCACACTCGAAAATCAGTGGCTTTCCACGCACAAGAGTACCATTCAAGTCGTATGCAAACTCGCCACCATTCCTCACCGAGCAAAGGCAGCCGTCTGAACAGCCTCCTGTACAGTCACACCCGACCCCATTTCCAGTGCCGTACACGAATGGAGGGAAAACAGAACTCATGAGGTATTCGTAATAGAGAGGATCCTGATTGGAGTCCACATCGTTGAAAAAGAGCACTGGGAAGTTCTCCTTCTTGCCTGAGAGGTCAAGAGACACATATCCCGCGGGCCGGGCCTCGAGAGGGCGTGTCCTCAAGCTCATGGCAAATTTCATTACTGAACTGCCCATCTCCTCTTGATTCTCATTCCTCGTGAGCCGGAACTTGTAGACACCGTAGCCTGACCTGCCCACGTCGAACCAGGTCTCGACAACTTTGTAAAGCCCGTCATAGACATAAACTTTGCCGCTCACGCTGCCTTCGTACTTAAAGCCGCGGATTACTCGTACTTCAATCCCGTAATGCATGCTCCTCTCCAGGGCTAGGTTACCGCACTCCAGCCTCTGGTGCTCGACCTGCCTGCCATTCTTGTCCTGCCCACCGTGACCAGTGTAGACTATTACATCGCCAGCATCCTCATCGTCTTCGTAGCCTCCGGAGACTATTATGCTGGTGGCAATTGGCTCGCCGTTCAAGCTCTGGCTGATGGGGACGTAGTCAATTCCGGCCTGGGCCTGGCCGTGGAGGCCCAGGACACACATCTCCATCCGGAAAAAGAAGACGTCCCCAATCTCGACCCCGGGAATCTCGCCCACGACCCGCTTGTCCCGATTCAGCCACAGCCCGCGCTCCCTCATGACGGCGGCCGCCTTGAGGTCTGCCCTTGTGCGGCGGTTGGGGATAACCTCCCGGCGCTTCTCGTCCTCGGCCACGGCGTACGTGCGGAGGGAGTCGAAAACCATACGGGCCCTGCGGATCGACCCGCGGAAGAAACGGGTGTCCTCGGGCTTCAGATCCGTGACCCGGACGAGCTCGGACGAGCGGATCGGGTACTTCCTGACGCCGCGGGGCGAGAAGACAACGCTCGAGAGGTGGGGCCCTGGTCCGTCAGGGACGGAGACGATGGCGAGCGGGTTCGGGTCGGGCTCGGGCGGGGCTTGGCCGCCGGCGAGGGAATCGGTTTCGCGGCCGGTAGCGGAGCGGAACATTTCAGAGAGGCGGCCGAAATCGCATAATAGCGGCGGCGTGCTGGAGGTGGCGGCGGAGGGAGAGGGTGTGGAGAGATGGTGGAGTGGAGGCGGAGATGGGGAGGTATCGTCGAAAGGTTCGAGTTTGGGCTCGATTTTGGGGACAAGAAGGGGGGAGGGGGAGGGGAGGTTGTTCAACGGCGCTGTGTGATTGGAACCCATTTCTCAGATCTCGGTGAAGATCTGAGAGAGTGAAGGATTTTCTTTCTCTTAGTTCTTCTTTCCTAGGGCTGTCTGCTTTGAGTTGTTGAAGAAGGTTTGAAGGACAAAAAAATGGTGAAGAGAGAGAAAAAGAAAATGGAGTGAAAGACTGAAGAGCTTGATTGAAGAGAGTATGGGTACTCAATTTGAAATGACGGAAAAGGTCTTGGTGGATTTCAGATCCCGGGGACGATGAACGGATGAAGTATTTAGAGCATGCTTGATACAATATATTTATAATAAAAAATAATCAATTCACCCTCACTTATTTTAACTCAACTACTACGAATATCATGCTATGCACGGGTAGGAGGTACTCATAATATTTTATAAATTAAAAATTTTCATTAAATAATATCTATATCTAAATCTATCTATATATATATATATATATAATAAAAATTAATTTAAATCATTTTTGGTTAGAATTTCACGTCAAAATAATCAATGACTTTCCAAAAAAGAATTATCACACACAAATTAAATACAAAACAAAAAAACATTAACTGCATAAGAATGAGGATCCATGAAAAAAAGGATTCTGTTTGTTTTAATTTGATCAAAATCATTTTCTTAATGTAAACATGTATTTTTATGGTAACATGTTTTGTGGTACAAGAATCTTTTATATATAAAAATCTCATTTTTTTGTATATTTTATTTTATCTTTATAAAATCTATATCTCAATAAGATTAAAATTCATCCAATAAAATATATTAAATTCAGATCGTTAGATAGTCGTCGAACATTGACAAATTAAACTTCATAATTCTTAATGTTAAAATATATATTTTTCACATAACGTACAATATATACACACACGTATAGAAATTGTTAAATCATCATTTTCTAAGTGACAGATAAATAAAAATAATAAAAAAATGAACACAGCAGCACGGCGACGCGCAGCATCAAGAGTAGCCAAGCGGTCGAGGACGACCCCTAGCCGAGACACCACCGACGCCGAGGAAGGAAAATCGACCGTCAATTTGGACTGAGCAAGCGGATTAGGTTTGAGGGTTTTTTCGACTGGAAAAGATTGTCTTTTCAAAAAAAGAATTATTACATACATATTATATACAAAAAAAAAAAAAATTAATTGCATAGAAAGGAGTAGCCATGAAAAAAAAGATTCCGTTTGTACTTGATTTTGATTTTGTCAAAATTATTTTTTTTTTAAAGTAAACCATTATTTTTATGGTAACACATTTTTGTGGTACAAGAATCATATACACAAAATCCCATTTAATTTGTGTATTTCATTTTATCTTTATAAAAATTTATTTACTCAAATTCATTGTTAATACAAATAATTTTTACTTAAATAAATATGATCTACACGTCTTTCTATTCATACAAATAAATTTATTTTTTATATGTATTTTATTTTCTATGATAATAAGCAGTTTTCTATTAATATTTATCATTTTCAACTACAAAGCATACAAAGTAAATCAAAATTTTAAACGAACCTTTTTTTATTGTATCACAATTTTTGTGGTGAAACATCTTCTAGATATACACATATCAAATTTTATTAGTATTTTAACTTTTTTTTCGTAATAAAATTTGATTCACACACGATTGTTCATATTAATTGTTTGGACTACAGAATTCTATAATAAAATAAGATAAATACGAAATGCAATGTCTATGGAAATCTGATTTACAAGTGTTTCTATTCATAAATAAATTTCTTATTTGAACTTAACAATTTATTTTTTAAAAATATTGTTATGCAATAGATACATTCTAAATTTCTTTTTAAACGTAACAAAATCCAATTTAAAGATTACATTTTATATTTATTCCAAATATTGAAATCGAATTGGCCATAAAATGAGACTACGAGAACAAAAAAAAAAAATAA